TGATGTATATTCATGGATAAAGCATTCACCCTTGAAGCACATTCAAGACCTTATAAACAAGAAAATCAGTAATGGTGGAACGGATATCCTTTGGATAGTCATATGCTTTAGCCGGATATTAAAAACCTATTACTTAGTACTTCACCATTTACAGGAATTAGTATCTCTTTTAGGTGTTGGACACTGCAGGTAATAATCAAGTTCAACCCAATAGGAATAACCTTAATATTAAAAAGAAATGCACGTCTTTCTACATAGATAACATAGCAAAGAACTCTTTTTGTTTGAACGCTTGCATTCACGTGGAAACGGTCTCGCTGAAAAGGCAGATGTAGGAACTGAGTTGTACTCGTTGCATTCGAATCGCTTTCATCTTCCATCGTATTTCTAGACATATCCGGTCATATGGTAGTTCATTTCAAATTTTATTTGATTATACGTAGAAATATAGAGAGTACGACCAAAGTTTATTTGACATTCTTGAAATAGAAAATTTTATGTAAATGTCTTTAAAGTTGATATTAAAACGCTTGCATAAAGAATTCGACTCAAAAAATGATGGTGAATGCATCAATGATTATTTCGGTTAATCTCATTAAAGTAAATTGCTGGTAATGGTATGAAATTGCAATTTAATCAAATTTTTTTGGTTTGTAACATACTGTTCTAGATACGACGTCGGAAATTCTTATAATTGAAGATTTTAAGTTTCGATTTAGGTTTCGAATCTCGTATCGGACGCGGTGTCGATTTATTTCCGCTTTGGAAGCGGGGATTAATTGCGTTTTGAGTGGACAAAAGGGGGCTACAAAGCCGGATGGCACGGTCAAACCCCACCGACGCAACGCAACGAGCCGAACCATTTAAATAATTAGTTTTGTCGTTTTAGTTTAACAGCTCGTATCGTGAATGTAATCAACTTTGACTCGATGAGTGATCCATCCCGATTATTTATCGACTTTCAAAGTATCTTTTATGTTACTGATAGGTACTCGATATTGTTTTATTTAATGTTTTTGTGCTTTAGGTACATTTAGTCTTTTAAGAATCATCATTGCTCATTGAATTGAAAGGAAAAGAAACGATAAGGGATGGAGAGTGGTCCTTTAAGTCTCGTGAAAGCGCGGATAAAGTAAATATTCCGTCCGAGATTGCACGGTCTCTTAACCTGGGTGAGATACCGGGTGAAGAAGGGGGCGTTATTTGCATCCTTTGCACCGAGGACACTCTCCTTAATCAATCCGTGGAGGCGGAAAACCAGGGGACCATCCCCGCAACTACGAATATTTAAAAATCAATTTCCATTCTGATATCGAATTCAGGATTTTCCAACGAGATTTATTGAAACGAAGTTTCATCGGATGCGCCATGTTGAAAGCCGCACCGTTTAACTATTCGTAATTCCCTTTTCTCATTTCAACTTTCCTTTATTGATCTCCACCTTCACGAAAATAAATAATATAAAAATTTCTTTCTATCCCTTTTTACAACGGGTAATATTTTGTTGGTTCAGATTTTCCGCATGGTTCGTATATCTTTTGGCTTTTTTTTAGTTTCTTTTCCCATAAACACGTCCTAGAACCGCGGTAAACGATCGCCGAAACGAGAAATGAACAGCTCGGTGTAAAGCGCACGTCGGAAGCTATTGAATATAACCGTTAAATTTTACGATGGGGACGTTTGCATGCGTTTTTGGATTGGCGGCGAACGTAAAATATGAATATTTACGATTAGGTTTCACGTCGACATCGTCGTAAACCGATCCAAAACGTTCATTTCTAGACACAAATACCTCTAGGACTAAAAGAAATTAAAGATTAAACGCATTATTGTTTCATCTAAATTTAATTTTCTAACTAAAACTGAATTGCACGACTCGACTCGACTCGTTAAGGCGTTCTTTGAAGTTCCATTAAGAAAATTGAGAGCGATACACGTAAGATTCGCTTCCAGGTAATTTTCGCTCCCCCAAAAGGATTCGTTCTGTCCCCCCTAATTGAACAATTTCTAACAAATTTCTTACATCCACTCGAGGAAATACTCGAAAGATTACTCACTTGGAAAACCGTTTCTACAACGAGCAAAAAAGAACATTTGTATAAATAAGAAGTAAAAGGTTAAAGATTAACGTGTTTATTTCAAGGTCGATTAACTTACAAAGTAGCTTTTAATTGAAACGATTAAAATTGCGATTTGAAATTCCTCTCAACTTGAAACGTAATACGTATCGATTGCGTCATAAGAATATGTAGGTATGTGAGAATTGGTTGGAATGTCCTTCTCAAGAAGTCGACGAAGTTGGGTTTTTGTTGACCTACATTCAAGACATGCTAATGAAAGTCTTCTTGAGAAGTAACGGTGCGTAACGGTGGAAAATCTTTTGTTGCACCATTTATTTTAATTTTTATCTATTTTTCTTTTCCCATCAATCTAAATCAAAATTTATCATCACTATTAATTTATAGTCGAATTAATTTATCAATATTGTAGTGTCATCCGGGCCATCAAATCTATACCCGAAATATCCCGGAGCTTTTCAAACGCCATAATTCAATGCACGTTGTTCCCATAATGTAGCTGGATAATATTTACAACCGCCGAGTATTATATTCGGGTGCATTTCATCGATATTGATGAATTAATGGAAACGAACAACGGGTCCTGGTAACTGAGTGCCTCTTTTACATTGAATCATTATGTTTTATGGATTCCAGTTATTGCTATTTTGGATCTAATATTAAACCCGATGTGGTAATTATTTTGTGAAATGTTGTATTGTTAATGTAATTAAAAAAGATTAATAACAATCGTATATTGTCAGAAAAATCATAAAAAATCGATTTTAAATGCAATCATTCTGAAAATTGGATTATTATTTAAGAAAAGTTTCACCTTTTTAATGGTAAAATCCGTTTTTGAAAATCACTTTTAGTTTTTGAGTTATAATGTTTTAAAATTGAGAATCAACGACAACAATTATTTTTCGATAACATTAAAAAATTCTCATTTTTCTGGAATATTGTGATAATTTCGAGTTATATAAAGAAAATTATTTATTTTATCATGGTGAAATCCGATTTTAAAAAATTCGTTTAATTTTTGAGATAAAAATTCTTAAACAGAATCGTACATTATGAGATACATTTTGTGGAACGTTACTAAAAAAATCCTAAAAAATCGATTCTAAATGCAATCATTCTGAAAGTTGGATTATTTATTAATAAAAGCGCCACCTTTTTAACGGTACACTCCATTTTTGAAAATACCTTTTAATTTTTGAGTTATAATTTTTTAATTAAATAAAAAATCTATTATTCTCAAGATTATTATTTTCTATTTTAAAATGATTACAAGAGTTCATGTGAAAGGATCCTTTTGTTTAGTTTTCCGGTTTCATTTTCGTTGCGAAACAATGAATAAGTTGGAATATATTCGAAATAATTTATATCTCTCCGAGGCATTTAAATAGACTAATTGTTATGATTACTGTGAAAACAAATAAATCGGGCAAGTATATATGAGTTAGCAGTCGCTATCAATCAGATCGATACAAGTTTCCCAATTAATTAACTATAACGATAATTAATGACTTTTGTTAGATATTTAGACCATAGAATCCAATTAATATTAATTGGGTTTGTAATAACCGCATATAAACGGGTGGAATATGGCGCTTAATCATAATTTCCGGGATATTTCTTTCTTTTGTAATAAAATGTACGGTTGATAAACTTCTGGATTATGTTCCGTGTGGTGGTGACAAGAAAAGATGCCCTTTTAACAAACCCCCCACTTATTAAAGGCCATAATTTCGCTCCGATTTTTTGTTCCTTTTCTCCCTCGGACAAATTAATTTAAAAGATTTTTGAAAGAAACCGAAACTTCGTCGAACTCTCCCCAAGGATTTTCTCGCCCCAATTTTCCTCGGGATATTTTCCCTTTATTCCAGGCGGACCAAAGGGGTTGGTTTTCTTTAAGAATTACGCCACCCTCGCGCGCAACTTTGCAGTCCGGAGATGACGTCCTCCGACTACGACGCTTTCTGGGTCGTTCTCTTTACTCTCTTTCTCTTTCTCGCTTAATTCTCTAATATTTCATCCCCCGTTTATCGACGTTATTATTGTCAACCGGGAGCGGGTGTTCCCAATGATTTTAGGACAGCATTTGGCGGCGTACTAACCTAAAGCTCTCGCCCATATTACATTATATCCAACATTTCCACCCAACCCTATTGGATTTTCTTTAATACCAACGTAACATAACTTTTTCGTTATGACCATCATTTGTCGACACATTTCTACAAATTACTTTTAGTTTGAATTTAAAATAAAATCGGGATGAGGTAATATTAAAAGAAGAAAAATTTATAGGATTTCCTGTTAGTTAAACAATCCATCAACAGTTCATGGTCGACAACCGAACAATGCCAAGTCGATAATTCAAATTAGTCGACAGCTCCGCAGCTCCGATGCCCATTTGAGAGATGCGCTTTGCTGTTACAAACGACGTCCATTTGTTAGTCGACGAGAAGTTCGACGTTTCGTTATTTGCTTTCATTTTATCAACTTATTTCCATCAACTGTTGAAGAAAATCCAAATTTTTGTTGCAAACTCATCACCATCACCGAATCGTTTAAGTTACTAATCGGCTCACCAAAATTGATACTTGAAACTCGAGAGATGCCGACTCTAAACTCGACCATTTATCACGGTAATCTTCGTAAGTGCGTAATGGTTAACTGAAACCGGAAACTTCACCTATAAATCAGTAATTAATAGGCGTTCCCGTTGGATATCCTCCGTACACGCACCGAGAACTCAAAGGGATCGGATTATCCCAATAAACGGTTTGCCCGGATTAATTATCGTCGGAAGACCTTAAAGCTATGAGTAAACTAGTCTCTAAGTACTTGGTTTATTTACTCGTATTACCTGTTAAACTATGTTATATATTTAAATTAATTATAATTTATGAGAATAATTTTTCTTTTTTGTTTCAGCTTTCCGTTCTAAAAGTTTAAAACAACCCCTGCAGCCATTATTTCCGGTAAGTACATCATCTGTCAAAATACGCTTCTCGTTTACCGCAACATTCTCTTCCCCGTAATTCTCCGACCAAAAGATATTAAGATTACGAAAATTTCGTTCTCGCTTCCGGTCCTGAAGCGTTTTCAGTCACGTCGCGGGTTTCGGTCGAATGTCTTCTTGAAGACATTTTGAAGATATTTTGATGCCGGCTCTCAGCTGTCGCTAGATTTATCTCGACGCCCAGCACCGAGACGCCCTTCTTGTAAAAGTAATGGTAGGGAAAATGTCGCGTTTGGGCAATTCAACTGCGCTAAAAGTTCGACCTTTCGTTCCATCCAATGCGAATTCTCGTTCTTTACCTTCATAACACGTAGAGACATTTTTCATATTTATTTTGAAATACGCGGTGTGTAAATTAAGTAATGACATTGGCAACGTAGCATTCGATCTGGCAACACTTGGGACGCAGGACTTGGAGAAGCGGCAGGTGAACATGTCAGTACGAGATTGAACTAGCTAAAGTCATTTGGTGCAAGGCAATTTTCAAGAACCGATGAAAATGTCCAGAATCCGGGATCTTGTGAATTCAGTTCGTCGGTTGACAGTTAGAATGATCGGGGAAGAATTAAATTTGACTCACACCACCGTTCATCAAATTTTGACCAATGAATTGGGGATGAGAAAAATTTGCGCAAAAGTGGTTCCAAAAAACCTTTCGCAAGACCAAAAGGACATCAGAAGAGATTTCTTGGAATCGATTGAAAATGATCCCCATTTTCTGGAACGCGTCAATACTGGAGATGAGTCTTAGATGTTTGAGTACGAGCCGGAAACCAATCGCCAAAGCATGGAAGAATGAGCAAGTCGATCAAAAGCATGCTGATTTGTTTTTTCGGTGAAAAAAATCAGTATCATTACTTAATTTACACACCTCGTATTCTAAATTTTTTTTTAAATTTTCATTTAAGTACCCTAATAAAGTTGTCAGTACTAAATAAAAGATCCTGTTCGTTAGCGAGAGTAAATTTCGTGTAAAGATCCAGCTCGAAAATCCCTTAATCCTGGGGAACAATCTCGACACTCCGGCCGTAACCCCGTTATAAAAAACGGATTACGTACGGCGTCGCTAATCAAGGTTAACGGTCAGAGGGGAGACACCGCCCCCGCGAGCTTCTCGACTCTCTAAAACTTTGGAATTTACGAGGACCCCCCCGCCGACTCGGACTTAAGAGAAGTCGCTCCGGGGCTGCCGTAAGTAACATTCCGGAAAGTTTCGGGACTTGTCACGTCACTCCTAGACAATAACCAACTTTCCCAATTTCCCCCACCGATGACGTCGCGTGAACAGCGGACCAAGCTTTACTTTGCAACCCTTTCGATTGAAACCGAAGGGTTTTAGTGAACAAAAACTTGACGACAAGAGACTTTTAGAACTCTCTCAACTTTACTGTTAACTCAATCTTTTAATGGTAAATATTATTATAGAATACTTTATATTAATCACTTTAATCTTATTTAATCTAATTAAATAAAAACAATGCTATGTTTCGTCACAGATTAATTCCTTTTTCCCTGATTCACCGATTTTCCCGTCAGTTTTCATCAAAACCGGGATTACACGTCCATAGAGAATGACTGTGTGGTAACCTAGTTAATTATTTACCAAGCCAAAACACCGGGTTCGGGTCACCGTGTGTCATTGTTTGTCCTCGGTAACAATCATTTATTGGTTTATCGATAATGATAAATCTGAATTTCGATTCGACGTTGAATAATTAAACCGCAATATTAAGCTTTTAATCTACATCAGACGTTCTTATATCAGGGTGATGCTACACATAGATTCATAATTAAATTAGTTGTTTACGCAAGTTTTGTTTGTTGAGATGTGGTTTTTATTTATTTTTAATCTTGGTAACGTAATTCATTAATAAATTCGGGTTTTGTTATGGATCAATGTTTAAATTTTGCTGAAAACTCAATATATTTGGACACAACTTCTTAGCAGTTTCTTTTGTGCGTTCCACCTCCCAGAGTAAGTATAGAAACCAGTATTAACGTCAATAGTAACTTTCTGTCAGTAAATCTCAGAAAGGCAAGATTTTACCTGGTTCTTTTACTTCATATATAAATATTGGCCAACTATTTGCTTCAGTGTCTCTATCTGGGTGCCACATTATAAGCGCAAAAGTGGTTTGCATTTTCAAAGTTGTAATCTGCTTTCGCACACTTAGGAACATATAATCTCAAAATCAATTCCTCTCCATCTCGAGCTCATGTTTTATGTGCTTAGCTTGCACAGAAGCTAAGCTTTTGACAAAAATTGCGAATTCAGCTTTAATAACAACGCATAACTCCTGGTCAAATTTCCTGGAAGGCCAACTTGGTGGCCATAACTCGCCATAAGCTTGCTAGATCAAAGAACATCCCATTTGGTGAAATAGCACCTTTAGCCACAACAACACCACAATTTAATAAATTGATCTTAAGAGATAAATGTTTCTTTTGCTATAGATTTAGATATCTTTACGTCCATTAAAACCAGACACAATCTAAAGGTTCTTTTATTCTATCTTTTTGCGGTGGAAAGAAATAGAAAAGCATTTTCTCTTCTGTTGGTCGTTTACAATGGGCGCATCTCGCCTGCAATCGCGAAAGAGAATTTTCCCGGAGAATAGAATCACGTTTCTTCGAACATAATAACCCAATACGGCGTTAAACCAGTTCAAATAGAGCGTGGAAATTAGAGAGGATGGCCTCGCCGTAGAACTACCCCTTGGGGGTGAGGATGTAGTTACAGAGAGCGTCCACTCCTCGTTAGGACGATAATTCCATGTTTGCACGACAATTCAATTCTTATTCCTCGTGGAGAATGTTAATGGAGAATTAGATTTCGTGTTTAAATAATCATTAATAATTCAGTCAAAAATCTTACCGGAATCGTTTTAGTCAAATGAAAGAGTTCATGTTACTTGGCGAGTGTAAAAGAAAGAAAAGTCTTTCGATTCGAAGTTTCTACCGGAAGTCTGGGTGTAATTTAATTACTCTATCCCGGTAGTAAAGTGGGGTGGCTTTTAGTAGCAGTAACGTTCCGACGGCGACGACGACGACGGCGTTTGCTAGTTTTGTTCGTTTTTACGTATCGGACACGACTTTACCGGGGCTGACCGTCCGTCCAAATCCTGTTTCAAGCAGCCGTACACGGATTATTCCCTGCACGGCACCCGGGATGCCCGGAAGCGGATGTAAACCCGACTCTCTTTCAGTCGACACGATTGGGGACGAACTTTATACGACAAAAAAAAACGAAACCTAGCTTTGCTATGACTACAACTGCTCAACAATTTTCAGCTATTTTTTTTTTATTTTTTAATACAAATCTATTTTTTTTTCGTTTGTTTTCTTGGATTGATGTTACAATATACGCCCGAGGCTAAGCCGTATTTGAATAGGTGATTGGGATGCTATTCACGTTTCGGCGTCGTCGTCGCGACGCCACCTACATAATAAGACCTTCGAAAACCGACCTGTATTGTATCAAACGGAAAACGTCGATGTGTGTGTCCTAAAAGGTCGAAGAAGAATCGAAAAACGAATTGACACCGAACTGCCAAACCGTGTCGATTTATTCCGACTTATAAACTTCTTTCGCCTGTCTAGTGTTTATTTTTCTTGGAACGCGGCGAGAAGTTTTAATAAAATAATCCGATCCGGTCTGAAACTTTATCGTCGCTAATCCCAATGGAGGTCCTTTGGGTCTCGTAAAAATTTAATCTATCGACACGCACAGAGAGTTCCCCACCTGCCAGTCGAGAATTAACTTAATGGAACCCCCATTATGGCACTAATTAATTTTCAACTCCCTCGACGGTTAAGCTTGCTCGACCTGGTCATATTCTCTCGATGGAATTAAGTTATGTTTTAGCTATATATAGGTTATTGCTCAAAATACCCATCTATACGATGCATAATTAATTTAATCAATATAAACTTTAACGATTTCCCATAAAATCTTCTTAAATTGTAAATGCACTTAATTACATCGAAATCGATTCAACGAACAAACCCCCCCATCAACTACGAACAGAACAACAACGAAGAGTTAAAGAAGTAGGCTAGGTAAGCAAGATAGGGTTTGGAAATTCAATTTTATAGCTCGTCAACAACAGCGGGCTGTTGTAATTGTAGCTGAAGCTTCGAGGTTCGTGTTTCGCTCGTCGAGCATATCGCGTTGATGAAGTACAATATCCGGATTGCCGCTAAATATTAGCCTGTCACGCAACCTGTCGGTGGATCCCCCCAGATTATGTGCTGCTGAAGAAATTCTTACGAGGGAGGGATGATTTATTGAAGCGAATTCTGACGGGCAATTCGTTAGATATAAGATGGGGGTAACTAATGTTTACATTTTCCGGGTAATATCAGTATGTTCTAAGTAATTAGCTATTAATATCTCATATGGTTTAATACTAATAAATTAAATTTTAATTTTCTACAATTATAAAAACTCAACTTTTTTATATATAAGAATTATATATGAGTGAAATGTGCAGAAAGTTGATAAAAGAGGATTAAATTCTACACTGACCAAGTTGAACATACAAACTCTGTATAATACCGTAATATTACTGTCTTCATCACGAACTTCAAAACATGCTAAAAAACATCTTCAACGAATGAAGAACACCCCACCGGGTGTTGACACCTTGCGGTTGCTGCTCAATTTTCGGTATTGGTTAAGCGAGAAAGTTCCCGCTTAAATGCTTCTGGATTTCAAAATAAATCTGGCTGAAATAATTTTTACTTTTTAACAGTCCTTATGAATACTAGAAAGTAAGCTGGACTCCTTAGTTCTTCGCCCTTGTCTTCAACAAGTAAGATTTTTGCAATGTGGTACATGAATCATGATTTTTCCAAAATAATAATAAACAGACCAAAAAATACACTTCAGGTATATTGTACAATTACGTAAGCTATAACTTGAGGTGTTTTATGTACGGATGGAGTCATAAAACTTGA